CCAAGTTCCCCTTTAATGTTCTTTTTTTAAAATATGCTGTCAGCATTTGCTTTTAAAACACATACTACTACTACTACTACTACTACTTCACAGTATCCCTTTCATTTGCTGCTAAAGAAAATAAGTTCCATGCATGTTTTTGACTCTTCTGTATTGATGTAACTTCTCACCATGTGACCTGCAGCACACTAGTGATTAAGCAGAAACTCCCTGGAATTTATGTCCAGCCATCCTACAAATCAGCACTAAGTAAGGGCCCTCTTTTTGAACTTCATACATTTTTCATATTTACACAAATAAAATGTGGCTACTTATGAGCTCCTTCTTGAATGCCCATCTACTTTGCAAAAAAGAGAAAATATAATTTTGTTATACAGTGTCTGTCCGTCACTGATATACTTTCTGTGCACTCACAGCTTGGTTCATACATGTGTTGATAGAAGTAAAGATTCTGAAATACCATATCTCTCCCATTGTTTAGTGTGGTTTGGGGTCATATTCATCAGACATGGCCTGTACCAGGATGGAGTCTTCAAATTCACTGTGTATATTCCAGATAATTATCCAGACGGAGAGTGTCCTGTAAGTATAGTTTACTTGTTCAACAAGTTATATTTTAGTTTTTTTACTTTTACAAAAAGCTTGCAGTATATTTTGTAGCAGGAAAAATGTTTGGTGTGTATCCAATCAAATAGTATTTCTACCTATGGTCAGGGTTTGTAAAGTCATGGTCAAAATCAAGACGCCTTAAAATACATGATTTGTCCAGGTCAGCAAGTGCTCATCTTAACAAGTAATGGATGACCAATGATCTTGGAAACTGCTTTGTCTTACAGAACATCATAAAATGTAGTTGAGTAAAACATGGGGACAAACTGTTAACAAGCTCATCCTTATGCTTCGTTTCAGAAATTAGTATTTGACATCCCAGTCTTCCATCCTCTTGTTGACCCTGTGTCTGGAGAGCTTGATGTTAGAAGAGCTTTCACCAAATGGAGGTAAGCTGTCCGCGTTTATGCTTATCCAGTTTACTCTCTCATTCTCTCTATGAATATTTACATTTATTTCGTGTACTAAATGCCACATTGCCCCACATACACCCCTCAGTCCCACTAAAACCAGTGCTGTTTGGTGGATCAGATACATGCTGAATTGAACACCAACTCCCAACACTGTTTATTCACCCTCCATCATGTGTGTGTGTCTGTAACTAGCAGTTAGCTGCTTCCTGTCTCATGCTGGAGAGAGAGGCTACCCCTTTCTCTCACTAACTGCAGCTCATTGCATGGGTCCCCCAGTTGTCTCTGACATGACCACATATTTAGCCTGCTCGATTTTTCTGCTGTTGGCAAGGCATCAGCAAGCTCTTGTGGAGTCTGCGGGTCACGTTGATGAACAGTTCACACAATGCGATCCTCCTCGTGGGAGCTCGCACCGATATGCCTCCAATCTGGGTCATTTGCCAGCAATCTCCCAAAATAGTTGTCAAGTGGAAAATCGGGGCTAAAATCACAGTGTGAACTGGGAATTACTCAGCTGGACATTGTCTGCAAAGTCATACTTTGGACCAAACAGAATGAGTCTGAAAGGAAGCTATTATTTATTTTTTATTTTTTTAAGAACAACATTTTGAATACAAAGTCACTGTTCTTCAGAGTGAAAAGATAGTGGAATATCCACCAAATGTCTTATTCTAACATACAGTATGTCATCACTCACTTTTAGATTTCATGCACCCATGTTCCTGACAAAAAGACTAAAAAAATATTGTCAACTCATTATGTTGTTGTCTTGTAGACGGAATCACAACCACATCTGGCAAGTCCTGATGTACGCACGCACAATTTTCTACAAGATCAATACCACAGAACCACTCAATCCGGAGGCTGCTGTACTGTGAGTGTCTGAGTCTCCTTTCAGTTGTTTTTATCCTAAAGATGAACCATAAAACAGTGGCACTTACTTGGTGTGATATTGCCAGTTTCTGTTTTACAATATGAATTGGCATTTTTGGCATTAATTAAAAAAAAATCCTATAAGATAAAAAGCCTTTAATTAATGCCACAGGGTTGTAGTAGTTGTAGACCAGTAAGGCTGATTAAAATGCACATGTAGACCCAGTGAGGTGTTTGTTATTTAGCCTACCCTGAAGAAGTGGAACGAACACAATAGTGTAACACAGTGCAATTCAACAGCTCAACAAACTGCGGCCTCCAAAATGACCGTACAGTTGAATCAACACCTTGAATCATAACCGTGCTGAAACAGCACAGGTGTAACTAATAACACTAATGATTGTTCAGTTGGATCGAGTGTCCTAGTATGCCAGCATGCTCAAACCATTATTGATATGATTATTTATATGATTAATTATACATGTGCTTTTCATGCTATGACGAGTAAAATGTCTCCTGTGAAAGAGGCGCTAAGCATAAATGAAAAGGTCTGGGGGGAAAAAAAACATGCATCACAATTTATTTGTCATTAAAGGGGTGAAATAAACCAGAATTGTGATGAATCTTGTGTACAGACCTTTGCACACAAAATTCTAAATAAATAAGTATTTGTAATCTTAAAAAAAGGGACCAGGATCATTTTTCTTCCCAGCTGCCTGCTGCTCCAGTTTTCTCTTGGCACTTTATATTGCACAGCCATATACACGTCCTTTTAACCTCCTTTACAAGTCATAATCCACGTCTCGCATGTCATAAAACAAACTTCTTTTTTTTTTCCCCCTTTCAGATATGAAAAGGATGTGCATTTGTTCAAAAGCAAAGTGGTGGATAGTGTAAAACTATGCAACAGTCATCTTTTTGACCAGCCCAAGATAGAGGATCCCTACGCAATAAGGTTGGTGAACTGTGTCCATTTAAACTATGAAGGGGAGAAATGTTGATTGATCTCTCACACTCACATTGCCACTCTTATCCATTTGATAGTTTTTCTCCATGGAACCCAGCTGTTCATGAAGAAGCAAAAGAGCGGATGTTCACATACAAAGTAAGTATAAACAAAAGTCCCCAGTTTACCGTCTCTTTTTCTCTTTTCGATTGGGGGCAGGAGAGTGCACTCTACTGCAGTTTTCCTCCCAGAATTAAAACCTAAACGTTTTGCTTAAGCCAAGTGTGAGCTATGAGCGTTTTGATTGGTCGAGCTCTTCCTTTTATGCAACTGCTAATTTGCCTTTGTTGCTTTAGAGACGGCCTGAGGATCACCACAAGGGAACGCAGGTGTCGGGGTTGTCTTGGGTGAAGCCTGGATCGACGCAGCCCTTCAGTAAAGATGACGGTTCTCCCCAGAGCTGAACCTGCATTGTCCGCCACAGCAGCCACTAGAGGGAGGCCCTCGCATTGGATGCCACGCCACTGGCTTACCTCAGCAGTTCGTATGAACTGGATCCTGAAACAGTTGCGAATACTTTATATTAAATCTCCATATTATTGCTCAGCTTTAAAAGCTTTGTAGGCATCTCCTCAAACAGCTTTAGAATAAGGAAAGTTTGTATCATATGTAAATTGACGAAGACAAATGGATGTCTCAGCAACATCATTTAGGCTGTGTTGCAATCAAAGAGCTTTCTCATTTACATTTTCGGATCCATGCACACGTTGGGCTAGGTGATCTAACATACTGTCCCAAAAGGAGCTGAAAAGTATGAGCAAAGCAGTTTGCATTCATACGGTAACCATAGTGGACTACTTGATCTATACCACTTGTTGAAATTGGCTCAGGACCGTTCATTTGTCAGACTTGGAATGTTGTCAGTCACAGTTGTGTGAATGAAACCTCCTAATCTTCATCCCTCCCATTACATAATTAAATTGACATGTTTTATATTTGTTTCTTATTGGACAATGATTTCTTTTTAATTCCACTGTGTAAACTATTGTCTTACATAGTTCCTAAAATATATATATATGAAGCAGAGCAGGAAAGTATGGGTTTTAAATGAGATATTAAATAAGTAAGCTCATGTATTTTATTTTGTCTGATTTTAAATCATTTTGAATGTTTTATGTACCATTGGTTATTAAAGGTTTGATGTGTAAGTAATGGATGCTGTGCTAAGCTTTGACTTTAGGAGAGAGGTGTCTACATCAGTTCTTGGATGGTTTGGGTTTTCTTAGCTTTCTTTGTAAATGTTACTGAAGCTCCCTCACAGATCTTTTCTTCACGAGTCAAGTGAAGTCACAGGAGTTGGTGTAGGAGGTCTGAAGGAAAATCAGAAATGTATTTTGATAAGGTTTAGATATTAGTTAGTTTCGGAGAAGCACAAAGTGGAGTTTCATCCAGCTACAAGAATACAGGTTTTCTGTTGCCAGACAGATGTCACTTTATATGTGACGTCTTCATCTGTA